GGCTGTTGAAGTTGATACACAACGCTGAAGTCTGCTAGACCAACTGATTACACCTGAGTTGTCACTGAGTTTAAAACAATATCCTGAGATACTTCTCCTATTGTCTATATTTCCAGCCCAGTCCGCATCCGAATAGCTAACAAGATTCAAGGCCTTATCCCTCCTGTATACTAAAGGTAAACTTTTCGTTCTTAGCAGATATCTAAGACAATTTTTTCCGGCTTTCCACTGCTTTTAACCTGGGTTTTCCACAAAAGAACTTAAAAGATTTGCTTCAAAGCAAATGTCGGGTCTACTTGATAAAGCTAGGCAATTTAGACAACCAACAAGTCCTCGATAATCACACTTTTTCATAATTTCTTGTTCTATGCTACCTTCTAAAGGACAATCTTCTTTTGTCAATTTTTCGTTTTCACCAATAGGGGTAGTTATCGGCTTTGCTTCGATCATCCTAAACCTTGATATCATTTTTTCAACATATTTCTTTTGACTTATCCCAATTTCGTTTCCTGAGTAATCAATTTTCATTCCTAAGAACCATTTAAGATCACTTATCTCGCTTATCTCAAATTTTTCGGAGATATTTCTTTCAAACCAGCTACAGAAATTTTTGTCTGCTCCACAAACCACTATATCATCGACCCACAAGCAAATTAAACCTTCTATCTCTCCCTCAATCCTCCTAACAAACAAGCACTCATCAAAAACTGAATTTTCAAAACCTAATTCCTCAAGATAGCTTTTTAGAAACCTATGCCAGTTTCTACCGGACTGCTTCAGTCCATAAAGACTTTTCTTCAGAAGACAAACTAAGGGTTTTCCTTCTTCATCAAACTTCTCGAACCCTTCAGGTTGCTTCATAAGAATTTCTTCATCTTGTTTGGCATTCAAGTATGCAGTTTTAATGTCTAACTGTCTCAACTGATACCTATTTTGAACTGCTAAGCTCAGGACTATTCTTATGGTCGACATCTTGGCTGTAGGCGAATACGTTTCGTGAAAATCCCTTCCCTCAGCTTGGCTAAAACCTTTAGCAACAAACCTAGCCTTAAACCTGGAAATTTCACCATTAGGTCCGTACTTCAAAGCAAAATGCCATCTGCTGCCTATAGGCTTCTCTCCTCTTTTTCTAACTAGTTCCCAAACTTTGATTTTCTCTAATGAATCAAACTCTTTTTTCATGGCTTCTTGCCAGTCAGGGTCTGCTAAAGCTTCCTTAGCACTTTTCGGTATATTTTCGAGAACTTCTCCAAAAAATACTACATCACCTACTCTTTCTCCTTCGTCACTTTCTATCTTTTTCTCAAAGTAGAACTTAGATTCGTCAAAACTAACGTTTCTAGACTTTTGCACTTTGAGTTTTCCTTCACTCTCAATTCCTATCAGATAAGCTTTACTATTTTCCGATGTCCCTAAAAAAATTTCCCTTCTAGACTTTTTGTCTAGTTTTTTCCGAAACTGTTTTTCCACAAAACTATACGCTACACACCCAAAAAATTAAGATTGGGTTTTTCTCCATACATTGACTCGTAGGGTGTTTTCCCTATAGCAGAATGAAAGCACATATTTTTGAGATTAGCAGCCATATTAAGATCATAATGCCAATAAGTTTTCGATAAATTCGCATCAAAAATCATGCAGCGTGCCATTGGAGTAATTGTTCCCCACAACCTTTCTATCTTTCCGTTCTCTTGAGGTGTATAAGGAGCCGATGATTCAATTCTTATTTTTTGTTTCCTACAAATTCGCCTAAAATCTTGACCAATGTACTCTCCTGCGCCGTCTGAAACTAAAGTCTGAGGGATTCCTATGTCTGCAATGAACCTTTCCAACTTTTCTGTTGCCTCATCTCTCGTCTTCATGAAATAAATTTTCAGATATCTAGAAAAGTTTTCCACAAAACCTATAGCATATATATGTCCATCCTCAGCTAGCGGGTCGATAGGACCTAAAATAACTGTGTGAACAAAATCTAGTGTCCTGGTTGCCCTGGTATAAGAATCTTTCGGGACTGGCTTCTTTTTTGCTCTATTCAACTCACAAGTTTCACAATTCTCAATTTCAAAATCACTAATCTTCATGCCTTCAACATGTTGCTCCAAATGACTTATATTTTTGTAGTTATTATGACCCATCCTGCAATGCCACTGTTTCAATGTGCTTACTACATAACACTCGTCTTTTCCTACAAAAGTGTCTCATAAAAAAAGACCACTTTCCTCTCTTAATGGGTAAACTGATCCATTTCCCTGGCGAACAAACGAGCTTACACCAAAAACAACTTCTGCTCCTGCTTTCTTCATTTTTGATACACTCAGCAAATTTCTTGAGTTTTCAGGAACGTACAAAGTATTCTTCAGCTCAATCATCTTAAACTCGCCTTTCTCATCTTTCACTTTGAATCTAACTTCACCTTTCCCTAAAATTTTTGATTCAGAGAAATTTGCATTGCTAACCGATCCTTTGAAGTTCTGATCTAAACTAACAAACATGTCTCGATCCTTAATCATATTACTGGTAGCTCCAGAGTCTACAACTAAGTCCTCGCGCGGAGACACTCCACTCAGAAAACTACAATGAGCATCTGTTTCAGCTACTAGGTTCTGCTGTTCTCGTTTAGTCCTACTAATGAACTTTTTCTTTGCTTGGCAATATTTTGCAATTTGTCCAAACTCCTTGCACTCATAACACTGAATTTTTCGAACTCTATCTTCACTATCTCGTCTGCTGCTTAAGTTTTCTCTGCATTGTTTCGACACATGTCCTCTTATATGACACTTGAAACAAACTCTGTTCTCGCTCTTAAAAGCATGCTCTTTTTCGATTACTTGTCTCTCGCTATCAAAATTCACTAAATCTCTTTTCAACTCATCTAAACTTTTCTCATCTCTACTAAACTTAGCTATAGTAGAAAAAGTTTCAAATTGTTTTGGAAGTCCTTTCAAATTAATTGAAATTAACATTTTTTCACTCACTCCTTCGTTCACTTGTTCTAAGTTATACTGAATCTCCTCTGCTCTAGTCAAATAATCTATCACTGTTTCATTACTATTCTTTTTCAAAGTTGTAAGTTCGGAGATTAGTTTTTGCAGCCTGGGTCTTCCAAAGCTCTTAAACCTTTTCCGTAAAACATCCCAAGCTTTGCTACCATTGCCTTTATAAGGTCTTAAAAACTAAAATGATTTTTTATCTAGAGACTGCACAAGTTCGTACCAGATATGCAACTGTTTTTCTTCAAAAATCTCTTTGCCTTTATCTATCGCAGCTTGTTTTTGATCACTGCTCGCATTCGGTCTTAAACTTGGCATAAAATTTCTATAATCAACTGTCTCATCTAAAATCTTGTTTAACTTCAAGTGAAAAATTCGTGCCTCGAATTGCTCTTCAAAGTAGGAAAAATCTTCTTCTTTTCCCGAAAAAAACTATCCTATCAGTTTTCGACAATTCTTTTCTAATCCAAGTTCTTATTTTCGACTTAATTCTCACACAAAAAGATTATCTCCAATCCAAAACTCAAAAAAAAATTATGTAGTGCCCTGGGTAAAATTCAATGACCCCGTTTTCTCTTACATCAAAATCATACTCTATAAACATCAATATCGCCAGCTTATATAACTATGCAAGTATATTTGATTACCTAAATCTGATTTGGAACCCAACGGAGTGCGTACTGAATAACACATCAGCGACTTAGCAAAGCTAAGGTCCCTCCTCAGATTTCATACTAGGTAATATATATATATATATATATATATATATATATATATATATATATATATATATATATATATTAGCAAAATAGAAATTCGTCTTTTTATTCTGGGGTATCAGTTTCTTTTTCTTTTAATTGCAATGTATTCATTGGATTGAGTTTGTGTCGGATTTGAGCAACTGCGTACGAACAAATTTATCCTTCCGCAAAAATTGAGTATAAATCAGCAACTTTTACAAATAAAACATGAAATTTATCAGTTTGTTTCAGTTTTATTTCACTATCAATAGTGTAGCGCTTCTTCCACTGCTGTGCTCACTCAGTGCCCCTTCGTGCAGCTTTTGACCGTCTTCTCCTCTTCTCTGTTGTGTTTCCCTGCATCTATCGTCAGAGTTGTCTATCTCTAGAAGTTGTGTCTATCTCTTCTATCTTTGCACTTCTCTGTCTGAACAATCGTCTATCTCCAAGTAGTTTTGGCCTGCTTCTCTCGCAGTTGTCTAACTGATCAGTTGTATATTTCAAGTTGTGATTTTCACTGTCACAACTCCACTGCAAATCTCAGCTTTTTTCCTTATTCGTTTGAACAAACAGTCAATCTTGACTCCTGACTTCTCACTCGTGATTGGGCATCTGGGCCCATAACCTATCAAGATTATTACAGCGACAAACGGTTGATTACTAAGGAGTGAATCAATGAGATTTGAGTGATAATTCCAGTAGCAAATCAGATCAAATATATATGGTAAATCATCCGCACAAAGTTGCTCGAACCAATGACTAAAGGTCGTGTTTCACCAGCTAATTTTAACAAAAATCGGGAAGTGATTTTTCAGTTTGAACTGAATAAGAAAGATCAATTCCAGTTCAGTTAGGAAAAATCACCAATATAAAGTTCATGAGAAATGTGATCGACAATACGTTTTGAAAAGGGATTTTAATATGAAGATTTCCAAACGGAATGAAAAGCTTTTTTTTGATCTAGGTTTCTCAATTTGGTTAAATTTTTACAAAAAAGTGTCAGTCATGATTATTTTTTGAAATTCAGAGAGCCCTATGGCCGTATGTTTTTTTCCTTTGAAGTCCGAACGATTTTTTCCTGTTTGCATTTGTGACTCTTTTCCAACTGTATGTTGGCAATGTTTCAATTTGGAAGTTGAAGTTTTTTTCTAAATGACAGGTTAGTATTTTTTGTTTTTGCAGCATTCAATGAATCTTTTGAATGTTTGTTTGAAAGTAAGTGTTCTGCGTTGTGTTTTTGAGTGTTGGGCGTGTGTGTGTCGAATTGTGTATGTGTGCCAGTCTGAGTGTGTGTGTGTGTGTAATTGCGTGCGTGCATGTATGTAGTATGTAGTATCATACTCACACACGCACAAACACCACATACTCACAGACGCACGCACACTGGTACGCACACACAAACAATCACACACGCTCACAAACACACACGCACGCTCACGCAAACCCACACAATTAGTTTTGGTAAGTGTGTGGGTTTGCGTGAGCGTGCGTGTGTCTTTGTGAGCGTGTGTGATTTTTTAGTGTGTGCGTACCAGTGTGCGTGCGTCTGTGAGTGTGCGTGCGTCTTTGTGCGCGTGTGTGAGTGTGATGTGTGGGCATGTGTGAGTGTGTTTGTGTGTTAGAGTGTGCGTATGTGTTTGTGTGGTGTGTATATGCGTAGGTGAAGGTGGCACTTATCTCTTCAATTTAATTCGGAAATTGATCTTAAGCTCTAGTTTGAGCTAAAAAGAGGATGAGAAGTTATTTGAATTAGAGGCAATAATTTTCAATTAATTAAGTTTTTTTGTACGGCGAGTGATTCAAATTCTTCCTGTGCGTTTGTGTGGGTGCTATGAAGGCGTTTGTGAATATGCGTGTGGGTGAGTTCGTGTGTGTGTCTTTTTATGAGAGCGAGTGTGTGTGTAAAAGTTTATGAGTGCGTGTGTTTGTGTGTGTGTGTATGTGTGCGTGCGTTTTTGTGTGTGCATTTGGGTTTGTTTGTAATTGTGTTTGTTTGTGCGAGTGTGTTTTCGTGAGTCTGTGAGCATGTGCAATTTTGTGGTGAGTGTTTGCGTGCATGTGTGCATGTGTGACTGTGTGAGAATGAGTGCGTCTGTTTGTGAGTGTGTGTGTGTGTTTGTGTGCGTTTGTGTTTGTTTGTGTGCGTTTGTGTGTGTTCGAATTTGAGTGTGATTGTGTGTGTGCGTGTGTGCATGTTTGTGTGCGTTTGTGTGTGTTCGAATGTGAGTGTGATTGTGTAAGCGTGCGTGCGTTTGTATGTATGTTGTTTCGGTGTGTACGTGTGTAGATGGGATGGCACTTATGTCTTGGATTTGTTTCCGAGTTTGACCCAAAAGCTCCCGTTTAAGTTAAAGAGAGTGTAAAAGTAGTTTAAAATGTGTGGCGAGTGTGGCGAGTGATTCAACTTCTATCTGTAAGTGCGTGTGCTGTGTATTTAAGAATATGTGAGTGTGTGAGTAAAGTGTCTGTGTTTGTGTTTGTGAATGCTTGTGTGCGTGAGTTTGCAGGGTGTGTGCTTGTATGTGTGTTTAAACGTATGTGTGTGTGCGCGTAATTTTGTGCGTGTGTCTCTCTGTGTGTGAGAAAGAGTGTTTGCATGTCTGTTTTATGTAAGTTTGGGGTTGTGTGTGTGCGTGGGTGCTTGTCTGTTTGTGTGCGTAGTTGAGTTTGTATGTGTTTGTGTGTTTTGTGGCGTGCGTGTGTGTTCGTGGGTATGTGTTATGTGTAGTAGTGTGGCACTTATCTCCTCGGTATAATTTTGAAATTGATGTAAAGGCTCCAGTTTGAAAAAAAATAGAGGTTAAAAAATAAGTTAAATTAGAGGCAATAATTTTCAAGCAATTAAGCCTTTTTGTACGGCGAGTGATTGAAAATTTTTCTGTGTGTATGTGCATGAGTGCTATGAAGGCGTTTCTGAATTTGTGTGTGAGTGAGTTTTTGTGTTTTTTTGTGAGTGTGAGTGTGTGTGTGTGTAAGTATATGTAAGTGCGTGTATTTGTGTGTGTTTGTGCAAGTGTACGTGCGTTTGTGCGTGCCTTTGTTTGGGTGTGCGTTTGCGTTTGTTTGTAAAAGTGTTTTAATGTGAGCGTGGATGTGTATTTTTGTGCGTGTGTTTGCGTTAGTGTGTGTGCATGTGTGGCTGTGTGGTGCATGCTTGAGTACATGCGTGTGTGACTGTGTGAGAGTGTGTATGTCTGTTTGTGAGTGTGTGTGTTTTTTTTGTGTTTTTGCGTGTGTGCGTGCGTGTGTTTGTATGCATTTGTGTTTCTTTGTAAGTGTGTGTGTGTGTTGTGCGTGATTGTGTATTTGTGTGCGTGTGTTTGTGTGAGTGTTTGTGCGTGTGTGATTGTGTGGTCCGTGTTTGCGTGCCTCCGTTTGTTGCTGTGTCATAAAGTGCGTGCGTGTATTTGTTTGTAAGTGTGTAAATGCGTGTGATTGTCTGTGTGTGAGTATGATTATGTATGCGTGCGTGCGTGCCTTTATTTGTATGTGAGATTGGAGTGAACGTGTGTTGACGAGATGACACCCTATTGTGTTCGATTAATGTAAGAGTTTTACCCAAAAGCTCCAGTTTAAGTTAAAGAGAGGGTAAAGTGAATTCAAATAGAAGAATTCAGTTCTTTTTTTTTTGTTTGGCGAGTGACTCAAGTTCTATCTGTATATGCTTGTGCTTTGTGTTTAAGAAATTGTGAGTGCATGAAAAAATGTGTGCGTGTGCGCGTGTGTGTTTGTAAGTGTGTGTGTTTGCGTTAGTGTGTGTGCATGTGTGGTTGTGTGGTGCATGCTTGAGTACATTCGTGTGTGACTGTGTGAGAGTGTGTATGTCTGTTTGTGAGTGTGTGTGTTTTTGTGTGTGTTTTTGCGTGTGTGCGTGAGTGTGTTTGTATGCATTTGTGTTTCTTTGTAAATGTGTGAGTAGGTTTTGTGCGTGGTTGTGTGTTTGTGTGCGTGTGTTTGTGTGAGTGTTTGTGCGTGTGTGATTGTGTGGTGCATGAAGCGTGCGTGCGTGTGTGACTGTGTGAGAGTGTGTATGTCTGTTTGTGAGTGTGTGCGTGTTTTTGTGTGTGTTTTTGCGTGTGTGCGTGAGTGTGTTTGTATGCATTTTTGTTTCTTTGTAAGTGTGTGTGTTTGTGTTTTGTGCGTGGTTGTGTGTTTGTGTGAGTTTTTGTAGGTGTGTGATTGTGTAATGCGTGTTTGCGTGCATTCGTTTGTGGCTGTGTGATAGAGTGCGTGCGTGTTTTTTTTGTAAGTGTGTAAATTCGTGTGATTTTGAGTGAGCGTGTGTGTGTTCGTGTGTGTGAGTATGATTATGTACGAGTGTGTGCGTGCCTTTGTGTGTGTGTGCGTTTGTGTTTGTTTGTAAATGTGTTTTTTTTTGTGAGCATGAATGTGTATTTGTGTGCGTGTGTTTGCGTTAGTGTGTGTGCATGTGTGATTGTGTGGTGCTTGTAGCGTGCGTGCGTGTGTGACTGTGTGAGAGTGTGTATGTCTATTTGTGAATGTGTGTGTGTTTTGTGTGTGTGTTTTTGTGCATGTTTTTGCGTGTGTGCGTGCGTGTGTTCATTTGTGTGAGTATGATTATGTATGCTGTGCGTGCGTGCCTTTATTGTATGTGTGATTGGTGTGAGCGTGTGTCGATTGGATGGCACTAATGTATTCGATTAATGTAAGAGTTTGACCCAAAAGCTCCAGTTTAAGTTGAAGAGAGGGTAAAATGAATTAAAATAGAGGAATCAAGTTCTTTTTTTTGTTTGGCGAGTGACTCAAATTCTATCTGTATGTGCGTTTGCTTTGTGTTTAAGAATATGTGAGTGCGTGAGTAAAAAGGTGAGTATGTGCGTGTGTGTTTGTAAGTGTGTGTGTCTGCATAATTGTATGGGTGTTTGCCTTTATTTGCAAGAGTGTGATTGTGCGTGTGTGTGTGTGTGTGCCTGCGTGTGTGTGTGTGTGCCTGTGTGTTTAATTAAGTTCGGGTGAGTGTGTTTGTGTGCTTATGAGTGTGTGAGAATTTTTGCTTGTGTTTTTTGTGAGTGTGAGTATGTGTGTATGAGTGTATGTGAGTGCGTGTATTTGTGTGTGTTTGTGCAAATGTACGTGCATGTGTGCGTGCTTTTTTTGTGTGTGTGTGCGTGTGTGCGTTTGCGTTTGTTTGTTAATGTGTTTTTTTATGAGCGTGGGAGTGCAATTGTGTGCGTGTGTTTGCGTTAGTGTGTGTGCTTGTGTGATTGTGTGGTGCATGTTTGCGTGCGTGCGTGTGTGACTGTGTGAGAGTGTGTATGTCTGTTTCCGAATGTGTGTGTGTTTTTGTGTGTATTTTTGCGTGTGTGCGTGAGTGTGTTTGTATGCATTTTTGTTTCTTTGTAGGTGTGTGTGTTTGTGTTTTGTGCGTGGTTGTGTGTTTGTGTGCGTGTGTTTGTGTGAGTTTTGTGCGTGTGTGGTTGTGTGATGCATATTTTTTGTGCGTTCGTTTGTGGCTGTGTGATGGAGTGCGTGTGTGTTTTTTGTAAGTGTGAAAATTCGTGTGATTGTGAGTTTGCGTGTCTGTTTTTGTGTGTGTGAGTATGATTATGTACGCGTCTGTGCGTGCTTTTGTGTGTGTGTGCGTTTGTGTTTGTTTGTAAATGTGTTTTTTTTGTGAGCGTTGATGTGTATTTGTGTGCGTGTGTTTGCGTTAGTGTGTGTGCATGTGTGATTGTGTGGTGCTTGTAGCGTGCGTGCGTGTGTGACTGTGTGAGAGTGTGTATGTCTGTTTGTGAGTGTGTGTGTGTTTTTGCGTGTGAGCGTGAGTGTGTTTAAATGCATTTGTGTTTCTTTATAAATGTGTGTGTAGGTTTTGTGCGTGGTTGTGTGTTTGTGTGCGTGTGTTTGTGAGAGTGTTTGTGCTTGTGTGATTGTGTGATGCGTGTATGCGTGCTTTCGTTTGTGGCTGTGTGATGGAGTGCGCGCGTGTGATTGTCTGTAAGTGTGTAAATGCTGTATTTGTGAGTGTGCGTGTGTGTGTGTGTGTGTTCGTGTGTGTGAGTGTGACTATGTATGCGTGTGAGCGTGCCTTTATTTGTATGTGTCATTGTTGTGAACGTGTGTTGATTGGATGGCACTAAGGTGTTCGATTAAGGTAAGAGTTTTACCCAAAAGCTCCAGTTTAAGTTAAAGAGAGGGTAAAGTGAATTCCAATAGAGTAATAAAGTTCTTTTTTTTTGCTTGGCGAGTGACTCAAGTTCTATCTGTACGTGCTTGTGCTTTGTGTTTAGGAATTTGTGAGTGCGTGAGTAAAGGTTTGTGTGTGCGCGTGTGTGTTTTTAAGCTTATGTGTCTGCATATTTGTATGAGTGTTTGCCTTTATTTGCAAGAGTGTGTTTGTGCAAGTGTACGTGCGTGTGTGCGTGCCTCTTTTTGTGTGTGTGTGCGTTTGTGTTTGTTTGTTAATGTGTTTTTTGTGAGCGCGGAAGTGTATTTGTGTGCGTGGGTTTGCGTTAGTGTGTGCTTGTGTGATTGTGTGGTGCATGTTTGCGTGCGTGCGTGTGTGACTGTGTGAGAGTGCGTATGTCTGTTTGTGAACGTGTGTGTGTTTTTGTGTGTGCTTTTGAGTGTGTGCGTGAGTGTAATTGCATGCATTTTTGTTTCTTTGTAAGTGTGAGTGTTTGTGTTTTGTGCGTGGTTATGTGTTTGCGTGCGTTCGTTTGTGGCTGTGCAATAGAGTGCGTGCGTGTGTTTTTTTTATAAGTGTGTAAATTCGAGTTGTGATTGTGAGTGTGCGTGTGTGTGTTCGTGCGTGTGAGTATGATTATGTACGCGTGTGTGCGTGCCTTTGTGTGTGTGTGCGTTTGTGTTTGTTTGTGAACGTGTTTTTTTTGTGAGCGTGGATGTGTATTTGTGTGCGTGTGTTTGCGTTAGCGTGTGTGCATGTGTGATAGTGTGGTGCATGTTTGCGTGCGTGCGTGTGTGACTGTGTGAGAGTGTGTATTTATGTTTTTGAGTGTGTGTGTGTGTTTTGTGTGTGTTTTCATGTGTGTTTTTGCGTGTGTGCGTGAGTGTGTTTGTATGCATTTGTGTTTCTTTGTATATGTGTGTGTAGGTTTTGTTCGTGGTTGTGTGTTTGTGTTTGTGTGTATGTGTGAGTGTTTGTGCGTGTGTGATTGTGTGATGCGTGTTTGCGTGCTTTCATTTGTGGATGTGTGGTGGAGTGCGTGCGTGTGTTTGTTTGTAAGTGTGTAAATGCGTGTGATTGTGAGTGTGCGTGTGTGTGTTCGTGTGTGTGAGTATGATTTTTTACGCGTCTGTGCGTGCCTTTGTGTGTGTGCATTTGTATTTGTTTGTAAATGTGATTTTTTTTGTGAGCGTGGATGTGTTTTTGTGTGCGTGTGTTTGCGTTAGCGTGTGTGCATGTGTGATTGTGTGGTGCATGTTTGCGTGCGTGCGTGTGTGACTGTGTGAGAGTGTGTATTTATGTTTTTGAGTGTGTGTGTGTGTGTTTTGTGTGTGTTTTCATGTGTGTTTTTGCGTGTGTGCGTGAGAGTGTTTGTATGCATTTGTGTTTCTTTGTATATGTGTGTGTAGGTTTTGTTCGTGGTTGTGTGTTTGTGTTTGTGTGTATGTGTGAGTGTTTGTGCGTGTGTGATTGTGTGATGCGTGTTTGCGTGCTTTCATTTGTGGATGTGTGGTGGAGTGCGTGCGTGTGTTTGTTTGTAAGTGTGTAAATGCGTGTGATTGTGAGTGTGCGTGTGTGTGTTCGTGTGTGTGAGTATGATTTTTTACGCGTCTGTGCGTGCCTTTGTGTGTGTGCATTTGTATTTGTTTGTAAATGTGATTTTTTTTGTGAGCGTGGATGTGTTTTTGTGTGCGTGTGTTTGCGTTAGTGTATGTGCATGTGTGATTGTGTGGTGCATGTTTGCGTGCTTTCGTTTGTGGCTGTGTGATGGAGTGCGTGCGTGTGTTTGTTTGTAAATATGTAAATTCGTGTGATTGTGAGTGTGCTTGTGTGTGTTTGTATGCATTTGTGTTTCTTTGTAAGTGTTTGTAGTTTTTTGCGTGGTTGTGTGTTTGTGTGCGTGTGTTTGTGTGAGTGTTTGTGAGTGTGTGACTGTGTGAGAGTGTGTATGTCTGTTTGTGAGTGTGTGTGTGTTTTGTGTTTGTGTTTTTGTGTATGTTTTTGCGTGTGTGCGTGAGTGTGTTTGTATGCAATTGTGTTTCTTTGTAAATGTGTGTGCAGGTTTCCTGCGTGGCTGTGTGTTTGTGTGCGTGCGTTTGTGTGAGTGTTTGTGCGTGTGTGATTGTGTGATGCGTGTTTGCGTGCTTTTGTTTGTGGCTGTGTGATGGAGTGCGTGCGTGTGTTTGTTTGTAAGTATGTAAATGCGTGTGATTGTGAGTGTTCGTGTGTGTGTTCGTGTGTGAGAGTATGATTATGTATGCGTGCGTGCGTGCCTTTATTTGTATGTGTGATTGGTGTGAACATGGGTTGACTGGATGGCATTAATGTGTTCGATTAATGTAAGAGTTTGACCTAAAAGCTCCAGTTTAAGTTGAAGAGAGGTTAAAGCGAATTAAAATTGAGGAATCAAGTTCTTTTTTTTGTTCGGCGAGTGACTCAAATTCTATCTGTGTGTGCGTCTGCTTTGTGTTTGAGAATATGTGAGTGCGTGAGTAAATGTGTGTGTGCGCGCGTGTGTTTGTAATTGTGTGTGTGCACACTTGTATGGGTGTGTGCCTTTATTTGCTAGTGTGTGATTGTGCGTGTGTGTGCCTGTGTGTTTAATTAAGTGCGGGTGAGTATGTTTGTGTGTGTGTGTGCTGTGTGTGAGAACTTTTTTTTGTGAGTGTGAGTGTGAGTGTGTGTGTGAGTGTTTGTGAGTGCGTATAATTGTGTGTGTTTGTGCAAAGGTACGTGCGTGTGTGCGTGCCTATGTGTGTGTGCGTTTTTGTTTGTTTGTAAAAGTGATTTTTTGTGAGCGTGCTTTTGTGTTTGTGTGCGTGTGTTTGTGTGAGTGTTTGTGCGTGTGTGATTATGTGGAGCGTGTTTGTGGCTGTGTGATGGAGTGCATGCGTGTGCTTGTTTGTAAGTGTGTAATTGCGTGTGATTGTCAGTGTGCTTGTGTGTCTTCGTGTGTGTGAGTATGATTATGTATGCGTGCGTTCGTGCCTTTATTTGTATGTGTGATTCGTGTGAACGTGTGTTGATGAGATGGCATTAATGTGTTCAATTAATGTAAGAGATTGACCCAAAAGCTCCAGTTTAAGTTAAAGAGAGAGCGAGTTAAGGTAATTAAAATAGAGGAATATAATTCTTTTTTTTTGATTGGCGAGTGACTCAAGTTTTATATGTAAGTGCGTGTGCTTTGCGTTTAAGAATATGTGAGTGCGTGAGTAAATGTGTGTGTGTGTGCGCAAGTATGTTTGTAAGTGTGTGGGTGCATATTTGTATGGGTGTGTGCCTTTATTGTTAGTGTGAGATACTGCGCGTGTGTGTGTGCCTGCGTGTGTGTGTGTGTGCCTGCGTGTTTAATTAAGTTCGGGTGAGTGTCTTTGTGTGTGTGTATATGCTTATGTGTGTTTGAGAATTTTTGCTTCTGTTTTTTTGTGAGTGTGAGTATGTGTGTGTGAGTGTTTGTGAGTGCGTGTATTTGTGTGTGTGTTTGTGCAAGTGTACGTGCATGTTGCGTTTTTTTTGTGAGTGTGAGTATTTTGTGAGTGTGAGTGTGAGTGTTTTTTTTGTGAGTGTGAGTATGTGTGTGTGAGTGTTTGTGAGTGCGTGTATTTGTGTGTGTGTTTGTGCAAGTGTACGTGCATGTGTGCGTGTGTGACTTTGTAGTGCGTGTTTGCGTGCGTTTGTTTGTGGCTGTGTGATGGATTGCGTGCGTGTGCTTGTTTGTAAGTGTGTGTTTGCGCGTAATTGTGAGTGTGCGTGTGTTTTTGTGTGTGTTTGTGCGTGTGTGATTGTGTGGTCCGTGTTTGCGTGCCTCCGTTTGTTGCTGTGTCATAAAGTGCGTGCGTGTATTTGTTTGTAAGTGTGTAAATGCGTGTGATTGTCAGTGTGCCTGAGCGTTTTCGTGTGTGTGAGTATGATTATGTATGCGTGCGTGCGTGCCTTTCTTCTTATGTGTTATTGGTGTGAACGTGTGTTGATGGGATGGCACTAATTTGTTCGATTAATGTAAGAGTTTGACCCAAAAGCTTCAGTTTAAGTTAAAGAGAGGGTAGATTGATTTAAAATAGAGGAAGAAGGTTCTTTTCTTTGTTTGGCGAGGGAATCAAGTTCTATATGTATGTGCGTGTGCTTTGTGTTTAAGAAAACGTGAGTGCGTGAGTAAATGTGTTTTTGTGCGCGTGTGCATATTTGTATGGGTGTGTGCCTTTATTTTCAAGTGTGTGATTGTGCGTGTGTGTGTGTGCCTGCGTGTGTAATTAAGTTCGGGTGAATGTGTTTGTGCGTGTTTATGTGTGTGTGTGCTAGTTTGTGGCGCGTGTGCATGTGTGTGCGTGCGGGTGTGTGCGTGCGTGCGTGTGATTGTGTTCAGGTGTGTGCGTGTGTGTGTAATTGAGTATGTGCGTGTGTGTGGACGGGTGTTTGAGTTCGTATGCGAGCAAAATTTTGTGTGTGCGTATGTGTGTGTTAGTTAGTGTGTTCATGTGTGTGTGTTTATGTGTATGTGTGTCGGTGTGCGTGGGTGTCTGAGTGTGTTGGATGTTTGTGCATGGGTGTGTGTGTGTGCTGGTTTGTGTGTGGGTGTGTCTGTGTTAGTGTGTGCGTGTGCTTATTTGTTAGTGTGTGTGTATTTGTTATTTGGTGAATGTGTTTGTGCGTGTGTGTCTGTGTGTGCGCTTGTGCGTGTGCGTGTGTGTGTGTGTGTGCCTCTGTGTGCCTGTGTATGTGCGCGTTTGAGTTTGTGTATACGTGTGTATGTGCGTGTGTGTTTGTGTTCCCGTGTGTGCGTGTGTGTGTAATTGAGTGCGTGCGTGTTTGAGTTTGTATGTGTTCGTGCGTGCGAAAGGCGAAAGTTTGTGTGTGTGTGCGTGTGTTGGTAAGTGTGTTAGTGTGTGTGTGTGTGTGCGTGATTGTGTTTGTTTGTGTGTATTTGTGTGTGGGTGTGCCGGTGTGTGTGCGTGCCTGAGTGTGTGTTGTATGTGTATGTGTGTGTGTGTTTGTGTGTTGTATGCGTATGCACATGTGTGTTTGTGTGTGGTGGTTTGTGTGTGGGTGTGTCTGTGTTAGTGTGTGCGTTCGCTTATTTGTTAGTGTGTGTGTATTTGTTAGTGTGTGAATATGTGTGCGTGTGTGTTTGTGCGTGTGCGTGTGCGTGTGCGTGTGCTTGTGCGTGTGTGAGTGAGAGAGTGTGTGAATTGTGTGCATGTGTGTGCCTGTTTGTGCGTGTGTGTGTGTGTGTGCACATGCCAGTTTGTGTGTTCGTGTGTATGCGCGTGTGTTTGTGTTCGTGTGTGTTCATGTGTGTGTAGTTGAGTGTTTGCATGTGAGTTTGTATGTGTTCATGCGTGCGAAAGTTTGTTTGTGCGGGTGTGTTTTAGTATGTGTGTTAATGTGTGTGTTGTGTGTTTGTGGTTGTGTGCGTCATTATGTGTGTTTGCCGGTGTGTGTGCGTGTCCGAGTGCGTGCCTCAGTGCGTTCTGTATGCGTGTGTATGTATGTGTTTTTGCGTTGGTTTGTGTGTGTGTGAGTGTGGGTGTGTGTGTGTGTGTGTGAGTGCTTGTGTTTGTTTGTGTTCGTTTGCGCGTGTTTGTGTGTGTGCGTGCGTGTATATGTATGAGTGTGGTGTGTATGGTTGTGGATGGGGGTGGCACTAATCTCTTCAAATTTGCTTTGAATTTGACCTAAAAGCTCCAGTTTAAGTTAGTTGAAATACAGAACAAACTGAACCTTTGTTTGCTCGATCTTGTTTTTGTTTGATTGAGCTGAGACATGAGAAGAATACATAATTTTTGTCGAAACTTCGACCATAATTGTGTATTTTTCACCTGTCTCAGCAAATATCTCTGCTATTATCAGATAATTTTTATAGCCTCGGCTGATTTTGTCAATTATTCGATTCTCTGAACTGCACTGTCTTTGATTTTGAACGACACTGCACAAAATTTTTTGACGTCGAAGGCGGCAGAAATTATCTAAATAGAAATAAGATATTCAAAAAATGCCGCATTCTACTAAAAAATTGAAGCTCAAACCCACGGTCTTCTAAAAACGCATTCGTGTTATTAAATGTTAGGCATTAACGCAAGAAAAAAGACGCTGGAAATTGTTTTGAGTTATGCATTAGGTTAATTAGAGGCAGTCAGAGTTTTTGCTCCAGTTACGGGAATTAACGCGACACAAATATATTAGCAACGGATGTAGCTTGTTTGAAAAAAAAAGGTGGTTTGTTTGAATAATTAGTCATTTTCAGGTTGTTCGAATTGATTTTTTCCGAGCTCTCCATTAAAGAATTTGCCAAAAAAATTTGCGTCATTGGTAAAATTGTGGAACAAAAAAAAGCAAAATAAATGAAGTTTTCTGCCTTTTTTACAACACTTTAAACAACTAGCACGATTCCTCTTCAAAATTTTCTATTTATTGGCGCCAAAGACACGACGGATGGGCAAAAACGACGTGGAAGGTGCTTATGACGTGGAAGGCGCCCTTGGCGTCTGTAGAAATGTGTATGTCTCGGTTGTGCAAAAATGATTTCGTAAAACAGTACCAAAGGGGGGTGGTGAGGGGGTGAAATTCCTGAAGGAGTGGCGTCTGTCCTCCTAAACCCGCCTTTTTTTTTTATCAGACGTACATTTTCACGGTAATTAAATGGACAACTGAAGAGACGCGCAGACAATACAGACAAAAAACTGCCAAATAAATAAAAACTTTGTAGGAAAAAAAATGCCAAAGCTCATAAATAATTTGGGAGTTTTAGATATATAAAATGTATAGCCAAATACGATATAACAAAAAATTCCTCCCACAATAAATATATGTAAGCTTTTTCCGCACCATCTGAGAACAGATGTTCCGAGGTATTATTAATTATATAACAACCAATTATTAGTTGATACTCGTTCGGATATTTTTCACGCTTTTCTGAAATGGCATTTGGTCAGATGATTTTAGTAAAACTTTTAGTTTTTATTTTGGTTGAGTCTATGGTTCTATGCTTCTATACAGCAACAATTGCGAGCAGGTAAGGTTTTTGAGCGATTATCGCAGAAACTTAAGAATCATTCAGCTATGAGGAATACGAAAACCAGGGAAGCTCATGAAATTAGTGTAAGGACATTACCTGTCTTTGTAAAGTAATGACGTCCATAAATATTATTTTCAGTTTATCACATCAATTGATCTGAAATACAACAAACATGAGGAATTCGACACCCTGATAACCCAAAGAGCCCCCTTTGTACTATTTTGAGATATCCATTTTTGGCTGAAGGACCCTAAAATTTTTCTAAATGCGCCTATGGCGCCAGTATATACTAACTTTGAAGGGGAGCGCGAGCCGAAAAAACGCAATTTTTCAGTCAAATTTTTTCGAAAAGTTCCTGAAAACACCCTTTTAGCTCAGAAAATCAATTTTGGTCGGCCTAAAAAAAATCGACAATTTTTTTTTTGAAAATTCGCCCCCCCCCTCGAGAAGATCCTAGATCCGCCCCTGCATCTATGACTTATCTTTGATCATAAGTTAAAAGAAACATAGCCGGCTGAGCAAAAAAAACCCGGCCACAAAAAAAAACCACTTGCAAAAACTTTCTTAGTTTTCAAATTGAGTCGTTTTTGTTCGTGTTCTGATGATAAAGTGTGAAGCAATGCCTGAAACGTTATCAAAATGATAAGTATGTTCGACCCACAGCAGTATAATCGAAAACGACAGTTTTCCTTGAAAAATGAAACGAATAATTTAATGATAACGCCACCCAAAGACATTCTTGTTGTCAAGAACTAATACAAAAAAAATTCTAGAAACGGTTTTGACTTGTAGTTTATGTGAAAGTTGGAATTTTTGCGAAAAATCAAGAGTTCACTTGATGCATGTTTATCAGCAGGGCCGGATCCTTTTCAGAAATTTTTCCAGAAAAAAAGGGAAAGGGGCGGATGATTTGAAAATTTGGTAATTTTCTGCTATTTTTTGTAGCTCCTCTCCTTTAATTTTACAAATTGGCTCTTCTACTAGTTTTTTATGCGAATTGACGCTATACAAATTTTCTGAAAGGCTTCTGAATACTTTTTGGATATAATTATTCGTTGTTGAAATCAACCTGAAATCAAACACGGCGTTATAAATCATCATCACTATCATCATAAGCTGCTTGTTTATACACCAACTCTGGTTTTCGTTGGTGTTCGGCAACATCTTTTGTTCGTAGAATCGATTTTACTGTACCTCAAAATGATTAGAGCCCAACGGCGGCTTTCTTTTTTGTGTTTAGTACCATTTTGTATGTTGAACTTTTTTTCAGTTTTCAGATAGCAGAGCCTAATGCGGCTTTCGCATTGTGTATCGCATACGTTTTGCCTATTTTCAAGGTGTTTTTCAGCTATGCACCAGCGTACAATTACAATCCAAAAAGCTGTGTTTTGAGACTAGCTTTGAATATTTCGAACAATTTCTCAATTCTCAATATCATTGGCAGCTGACTCCGAAGATACGGCCCGCAAAAAATGCCTGTTTCCTTATGCTGATTTCACTTTGGGCAGAACGAGTCGGTTGGAATTTGATCAGTTGCTTTCAGTTTTTGAGTTAGTTAAAATAGTATATTTTCAAGTGCAAATAATGTTTTATGCGTTAAATCAGAACTTTGAAATTTTTATGCTCAACAGGTAGCACAACACTGTAAATTTTGTAGAAAAAGGGTGATACTGTTTGATTTTGACACCTGGTAGTCAAATCGAAATGCACTGTTTTGTGCACTTTGTTGTTTTTCGACAGGAAAGCATACAAACTATTGGGGTAGTCTAAACTTGAAAATAATAGAGTTCTTGCTAAATTGCTTCGGTTCTTACAGCTGAGGTAATATCTAATGGAGTACAATTTCCGCAACTGATAAAAACAACTTAAGCAAACACTATTATTATGATTGGTCATCAGCATATTATCATCAAGAATATTTCCCAAAATCCTCACAGATTTTGAAAAATTGCACTCATTATCTTAGTTTATCGACCTCCCAGACAACTTGATCTCTAGCATTTACAGTTTCGCCGTTGACTTGTAAATTTTGAAGTCCACAAAACAAAGAACAATTGCAGCCTGCAATCTGACTTAAATCATTTCTGGGATTGATGCGCCGCTCACCAAATGGCATTTTGAATTTGAATTTAGAGACAGTATAAAGATCACATATGTGTACTTAAAAACTGCATCAAGGTTACTGTACGGGCAGTACAGCTCAACTAGCAGTAACCTAAGGGCAACCTAGATAAATGAGTGAAAGCAAAACCGAGTTAAAATATGAGGGTACACGAAATTTACCCTATAAACATGTCAACAAGTAATCGATTGTCATTTAAGTACACTTTTTTTAATTTTACGTAAAAGTCTTTCTTCTGTTTGTCAGTAAACTCGTTAAGGTTAAGAGGCAATAGGTTATTTGACATTAGGAAATTATAGCATTTCACAACTTTGTACGAAACCGAATTTTGTGCTATCTTTGATTTTCTCAAAAGTAAGGGTATACAACCTAAACTATTCGAACGGGTACTACGACGCGTTTTTACATAATCAAGATTCAAAAATTTTAAAGGCGATTTTCCCAGGAACTGAAAAATTGTCTCGGAAAACAATTGGCTGATGAAAATTTCATGTACACTCTGAAGTTGGAATTTTGAAAAATACTCCGACACATGATCATACTTTCGAAGGAAGAAAATGGTTCTTATGATTTTTTTCTGTGCCAAGTAAATTTTATCAAGGTTTGATTTCGATGTACATCCATAAGCGAATAAGCCATAAGAAATTAGTGGAATCACGTATGCAATGTAAAACTTAATTAATGCCTGTTTAGAGCAACAAGATCTTCCTCGATATAAAACACCATTAAATTGGGATTTTCGTGCAAAATTTTACAGTCTGCATAATAAAATTCAATTTTTTGTCAATTTTAACACCCAAATATTTGAAACTTTCTTTATATTCCATGTTTTCACCAGCAATGGAAATAGAGGCATCAGGCATAGTTTTACCAAAACCCATCAGTTTACTCTTGTCTGTATTAATCGATAACTTGTTGTCATTACACCAGTCATTTAGACTCAGAGTATCTGTTCTGAATTCTTTCAAAAACGCTCTCGTTTTACCAGAACCAACAATAGCAGTGTCATCGGCAAAAAGGCTTATCTTGGATGTCTTTGTTACATTTGAAATATCATTGATAAAAATCAAGAACAATTAAGGACCTAAAACCGAACCCTGGGGAACTCCACGAGTTATTTTTTCAAATGAAGAATTTATGATACCATCACTTACAAATTGTACTCT